AGGTGATGTAGTTTGAACTAGCTTATTCCACACACGCATGGTTCACGCGGGGATTGAACTATGAATCGAGACCAAGTCGGTCGAATGGCTACCATCTCTTCGGGTCGAACAATTCGTACCGGACTTGTTTGAGAGGATAAAAGGTAGATGGTCCGCGACAGCCGCGTGCGGCGGATCGATCACACAAAACCGTTGCTACTGCCCGTTTCCTCCGAAAAAGGAAAGACAGAGCTTTACAGAAACCGATTACTTTCTCTTATCTAGTCTTGCCATGAGTCTGTAATAAGAGTTAACTTACTTTTCAGTTTCGGTGATTCCACTAGTTATAATGGCGTCAAGTGCACACGTCCTGATGATTTCTATGCTGTTGTCGGCAGCAACCTGCTATCAGAAACCATTTCCATTGCCATCGCTCAGAAATAGAGAACCGCTACAAGGTTTGCAGTTGAAGTACATTGTATAGGACCACAGCAACCTTTCCTTTCAGTTCTTGCTCCGGCCTGTAAGACTGAGTACTTCCTGACAACGTGCAGACCAAGCAGACGCTGTTCTTCAGGGAATGTAAGGTTTAAGGTGTCATTTGAATTTCCCTCAGTGGGAGGAAACCGCTTTTTGAACGGTTGTTTTGATCAGAACTATGAATCAGTAGAGCTTAAATGGGAATAAGATAAGGTCTGTATAGTACCAACATAACCACATAGTGGCCAGCTGTTTCGAATGCTTTACTTTATCAGTGCAAACCTGTTTTGAAATTTCTACCATCTCACATAACGATGGAAAAAGCTTTTGATAGCGATTTTCCTGGCGATCATGATGTTTCTTTCATACTTTGGGCAATACATGAGCACTGACGAGCTGAGATGACTTAGCCACCAAAAGAAAAAAGGAGAATGTCAATTAAACAGTACAGGCGGAATATACATATACATATCGGTACTAATTTGTATTTCCAACACCGTCAAGTTCTTTACTCATAAACTTAACGTTATCAAGTCTCGTCCATCGGGAACAGCTAATAAATACACGAATCAGGAAAACAAGTAAGTGAACATCCTAGCAGTATATGGTTTCGAAGGGCGGTGGAATGTAGAGCGGCTGAGGCCGTAGAATAGTTTTCACGGATCGTTCTTAGCTTGCCTCAAACCAATTTAAAATGGTGTCACAATTGAATTTTCTTGAATTCAACACTAATTCAGAAAAAAAATTCATGAGTTCAGATATGTGTGGATACCAATTATCAACCGTGCTGCGAGCGATCCCAAATGGAATGTCCAACAACTGCACAATTGGGATTCAAGTGCTACGTAAGTGAATAACTACAGAATGTAAATGTCAACATTTTATTATACTTTCAGTGACAGTAATTAAATTGAAGGTGAACACGCCCACAAGTTGGTGTCGCGAAAATAGCGATTGCGGCGGGAAGATGTGCTGTCCGACTGGGTGCAACTACAATGTGTGTATATGAAGTGTTTCACCTATTTTATTTTGTTGATGGTGCTTTAACAAATGTAGATTTCCTGTTACTCCAAAACCATTGCCATAAATACTTTGTTGTGTGTCTTCCTTGAAATATGGAGAGGAGTCTAGAAAGCTAACACCGTCAAATCTTGAGCTGAAATGCACCTTTTATTCGACTTCCACTCACTCAGTGATGAGACCGAAGCAAACAAAGGTCTCTTTGTATGTGCACGATCAAAAGACTCCAAGAAATCGCTTCGATTCTAGCAGTAGGCAAAGTCAGCCATCCGTTCACTGAAAACACAAAAGCCGTAAGAGATGAATCTTGCTTTTCGTAGAGCACAAACGATCAGTGTAGAGAGAGAGAGCACTTTACAGTGGGCTGGTCGGTTCCTCAAAGAAAAGGGCCTTATTTGTGATCCCAAAAGACATACAGCACCGAGACCGACTAACTAGGACAACTAGCCAAGGATCGCAGCGCGTGAGGAGTTGGTGCAGTGTATAAAGGCACGTTCTAGCGCTGTCGCGCCGCTCACGGCGTCTTCATTACCAGTATCAGGTACTAATAGATTCAGTATCAGAGTCAATGTTAAAATCAATAACAGAGTAAACGGTAGCTATTCTAACTGATAGATGTATTGTGCCAAC